GCGAAACCCCATCTCTACTAAAAATACAAAAATTAGCCAGGCATTGTGGCAGGCACCTGTAATCCCAGCTACTTCGGAGGCTGAGGCAGGAGGATCACTTGAAACCCGGAGGCAAAGGTTGCAGTGAGCCAAGATCGTGCCATTGCACTCTGTCCTGGGCGACAAGAGCAAGACTCTGTCTCTAAAAAGAAAAATACATATATGGGTTATGAAGTCTTAGGAAGTGACATTTTGGGCATCAGAGGGATAGATTGTTTCTTTTAGAATCAGTTTATGAAAGGCTAAGGCTTTAGAAATAATGTGTTTCAGCAGGAATTCTGACTAGGGATAGAGGTGGGGGACGGAGGCAAGGCGATAGGATTTCTCCTTTCTTTTGCCTCTTCTACCCAGGGCAGTGGGTTGCCTTCCTGTGCTAGACTCTTGTGTGTTGGTCATTGAGATATACTGGGGTAGACAAAAAGTTGTATATATATCACTGATATGGTTTAGTCGAAGTATGCAAAGTATAAAAAGAAAACACTTTGCTCAGTCATCTAGTTAGGTTCTTAGTAGAGCAAAACTCTCACTTTATGCTGTTACCTCCTTTTTCTCGCTTCTCCTACTCTAATCGTGGTTTCTGTGTCTTGATGCGCTGCTGAACATTAAGCTCCACAAGAGCAGGACTTCGACTATCACGGCAAGATCAGGGGCCTAGCCACAATTCTGTGGCTCACAGTAGACATTTGGTGCTGTTTAAATGGAAATAAATAAATAAAACCAAGTAATTACAACAGTAAAATGAACCACAACTTTCTCAGTCAACTGAGTGCTTCGCACTTCATCCTCTTTCTTGGTCTTTTATAACAGCTGATACTTTTCTCCTCCTCTTACCTCCCAATCCATTCCCACGTTGCAGCAAAGTGAAGTTTATGTCCTCCTTGAATCCTCATTACTGCAGATAAAGGCTGAATTGCTAAGGGTGCCCCTTCCAGGCCATTTCTGACTCTTTGCTCTCATACTCAGTTGCAGTCCCCAAACATTGCCCAGCATTCTGTCTCTCTTTTGTAATGTCCTCCCCACGCCTTTTTTTTGGCTCCACCCGCCCAATCCTCCCTTTTCTTTTTAAATATTTCAAACACCAGAAAAATATGTGAATATACATGTACTCACCCTGGCTGTTCACATTCTAATAAATTCTTGCTTCATATTGTTTTTTGGAAATAGAACATTTCTAGTACATTTAAAGTCCTATTTTCCCTTCTAAGTCCTAGGCCACTTTCTCTTTGCCCAGAGGTCATCAGTATCCTGATTTTTTATTATTTGTATTTATTTATTTATTTTGAGACAGAGTCGGACTCTGTCACCCAAAATGGAGTGTAGTGGCGTGATCTTGGCTTACTACAACCTCTGCTCCCTGTTCAAGTGATCCTCCCGCCTTAGCCTCCTGAGTATCTGGAACTACAGGTGCATACCACCATGCCCAGCTAATTATTATTATTATTTTTTTTTTGAGATGCAGTCTTGCTCTCTCTCCCAGGCTGGAGTGCAGTGGCGCAGTCTTGGCTTACTGCAACCTCCGCCTCCCGGGTTCAACTGATTCTCCTGCCTCAGCCTCCCAGGTAGCTGGGACTACAGGCGCACGACACCATGCCTGGCTAATTCTTTTGTATTTTTAGTAGAGATGGGGTTTCACCATGTTGGCCAGGCTGGTCTCAAACTCCTGACCTCAAATGATCCGCCTGCCTCAGCCTCTCAAAGTGCTGGGATTACAGGCGTGAGCTACCACGCCCAGTCTCCCAGCTAATTTTTTGTATTTTTAGTAGAGACAGGGTTTCACAGTGTTGACCAGGCTGGTGTCGAACTCAAGTGATTTGCCCATTTCAGTCTCCCAAAGTGTTGGGATTACAGGCATGAGCCAGCACACCTGGCCCAATAATCCTGATTTTTTTTTTTTGAGACAGAGTCTTGCTCTGTCACCCAGGCTGAAGTGCAGTGGCATGATCTCAGCTCACCGCAACCTCTGCCTCCTGGGCTCATGCGATTCTCCTGCCTCAGTAGAAGTTTTAGTAGAGACAGGTTTGTATTTTTAGTAGAGATGGGTTTTACCATGTTGACCAGGCTGGTGTCAAACTCCTGCCCTCAGGTGATCCACCTGCCTTGGCCTCCTAAAGTGTTGGGATTACAGGCGTGAGCCACTGTGCCTCGCCCGAACCCTGATTTTTAAATATCTTTTCCACTAACACCTTTATACTTTTTGCTACATATGTATATACGTATAAGAACTACATTTGTTTAGAGCTTCTATACCAGTGTATTCTAACTGCAGCAGTGAATGAACTTCCAATATCTACATCTTTGCCCAGATAAAGAATTATCAGACTTAATATTTGTCAGTTTGGTGGCTAGAATAAGCTGTTACGTTTCCCTGATTACTGATGAGGTTGAGCATATTTTTATGTTTGTTGGTCATTACTGTTTTCTGTAAACCTTATTCCTAATATGTTCTCATTGTTCTCTAGGGTTTTCTTTTCCTTATTGATTTCTAGGAGGAATTCTTTCTGTATTTTGAATAACATTCTTGTCTGCTATTTGTTATTCATATCTTTTTTCAGTCTGTGGCTTATCTTTTCATTTAATCTGCCTATAATTGATTTTTATATATACTATGAGATCAGATTGGGTTCTAATTTTATTTTTCCATATTAGTAAAATGTTCCAACACCATTAACTTTTCCTACTTTTTTTTTTTTTCTCTTTTAAGACAGGGTTTCACTCTGTGACCCAGGCTGGAGTGCAGTGGTGTGATCACAGATCACTGCAGCCTTGACCTCCCCGGGCTCAGGTGATCCTCGCCTCCTGAATAGCTGGGACCACAGGCATGTGCCAGCCACCACACCTGGCTAATTTTTGTATTTTTTTAGAGATGAGGTCTTGCCATGTTGCCCAGGCTGGTTTTCAGCTCCTGGGCTCAGTTGATTGGCCCACCTTGGCCTCTCAGAGTGCTGGGTTTACAAGTGTGAGCCACCATGCCTAGCCTTTTCTACTTTTTTTTTGTTTGTTCTCTTTTGAAATAACTTTAGATTTGCAGAAAAGTTACATGAGTAGTACGAAGGATTCCCATATACCTTCATGCAGATCCATCAAATATTAATGTTTAACATTTTTGCTTGCTCTTGTGTGTACTCTCTTCCCCCCTCCCTCCACATTCGATTTCGTTTTTTGGGGGAACCATTCAAGAGTAAGTTAACAGATACTGTCTCTTCACCCCTACATACTTCAACTAGGACATTTTCTTACAATATAATTGTTAAAACCAGGAAATTAATATTGAGAAAGGACTGTTATCTACCAGCCCTATTCAGATTTCACCACTACTGTTCTTTAAAGCAAAATAATGACAATAATATTTTTCCTGATAACCAAGGTTGCATTTACTTGTCATGCCTCTAGTCTCTTTACTGACTTTTAGTGTTGCCTCTACTAAAAAGCACATTTTCATATATGATATGTCTGCTTTGGGGCTTTTCTTTTTCATTAGTCTGTTCATTTCTGCACTAATTCCGTATTTTCTTAATGGTTTCTTTAGCTGATGAGGAAGTCTTAAAATCTAGGAAAGTGTCCCCTCTGTTTTGTTTTCTTTTATTGTTTTGTTTTTGTTTTCGAGACAGTCTTGCTCTGTCTTCCAGGCAGGGGCTTGATCTTGGCTCACTTCAACCTCCACCTCCTGGGTTCAAGCGATTCTCCTGCCTCAGCATCCCATGTTGCTGGTTGGGATTACAGGTGTGCACCACCATGCCTGGCTAAATTTTGTATTTTTAGTAGAGATAGGGTTTCATCATGTTGGCCAGGCTGGTCTTTTTTTTTTTT